TCTCAACTGCAGAAAGAGCTGGCATTAAATAAAAAAAAAAAAAAAAAAGGCCCGGGAAGTCACCCAGTGAGCATGACGTAGGGGTTCTTTTAACGGGCTGCTTCAGGTTCAGCTGTCAAAACTACACACAGGAGAGCTGATCAGAGCAAAAACTATTAGTTGTGCTTTAAAAGATTACTAAATGAATCTTTTAAAGCTATAAATTCAATCGTGTAATTGTTGGAAATAGTTAACTGGCAAGAAAACAGCCATGACTGTCTGTCTATTTATGCCTCTGCCCACAGGCCATTTTTCAGACTGAATGGCTGAATCCCATATTACAAACTCTTACACCATAAGAATGAAAGTAAGCTGTCTCCGTGAGCAAGAAATGTTTCCTATGGTAAATAATAACAATAATAACTCCTTCTCCTCCAAATCTTTATCGTTCTGTAAATTTGACTTATGAAAAAAGCAGACAGATCAGACTTGGCAAATTTCTTTAGAGAAATACTTTTTCTGACTCTGTGTGTTGCATGTTTTTAGCTAGTGAGGATTGTTTTAGCAACAATGAGAGTCAAAACAAAAATTTTTTTTAGAATAGTCACCAATAGTAAACAGGAAGCCAACTTACTCGTCCCTTGTGCCAGCATTCCACGATCTCCTTATCCGTGTTCTTGCCTTCCAGGAGGGTTAGCTCCTGAGCCCAGGTTTGAAGAAGGACACTGAAATGCTCCAAGGCCTGCTCGAGTTGAGCCACTTGGCCTGAAAACTCCTGCTCTGACAGGGCCATTTGGTTAACCAGAGTCTCCAAGTTGCTCTGTGTCTGGAGCACGTTGTCTTCCCACTGCTTCCAGTCGGCACGCAGGGCCTGCATCTCTGTGTGCATGCGCTCACACCCACTGGCAGCTGTGTTCTGTTTCACTTCAGGAGCTAGTGACTCCACTCGGCTCAGGCGGCTCACACCAATCTCTCTGGAATCTATCAGCTCCTGTAATGGAATATCGCCATGGTAACCAAGAAGGCTGTGAGTCACTTAGGCTGTAAGTTTGCAAATGTGGACAGAAGGGGGACTCTGTCCCGCTGGGAAGTTTTGGCAAATGTGGAAGAAGGAACTAGAATCAATGTGTCTGCATGTTCTCTAGTTAGAGTGGCTGAGAATTCTCATTGTGAGCACCAAGTCTTGTACTACGATAACCTGAGAATTCGCAATATCCTGAAACAGACTAAACAGGGATCCTGAAGTCAGACATTGTCTGAATATGTGAAAAGGTTCCAATGGTGACTTAGAAATTTGCCTGTGGCATATTGCTCCTCTAGCAAATCCAAATTTGCTATGGAAGAAAACAATCACAATTTAATATTCAAGCAAATAGAAATAAACTAAAAGATACTAAGATCTCTAATTTCTTCATAAGTATGAGTTTCTATTTATGAAATAGATCTTACAAGGAACAAATCAGGTTGTAACTTTAATAATCTTTAAATACTGTCTCCTATAATGTCATTGGACTGTTTCTGGGAAAGTAGGCTCAGGCTGACCTCATAGCCTAGCGATTAAAGGGAGCTGGATCCCACATGGCTGACCATGGTTTGAATCCTAGCCCTAATGGCCCGAAAAATATTCCAGGCATATGTACATACATGCCCCCAAATCTTGACAGGATGGAAAAACAGAGAAGGGATTACAGCATGACCATGTCCCATTGGATGGTGTTTCCTTCTCGTCTTCCGTCTCACTCTCTCTGGTGAGCACACGTGTCCTCAAGCAATTAAAAAAAAAAAGAAAAACAAACAAAACAAAACAACACAACAACAACAACAATCAGTGAGACAATGTAGTTATAACAGTTGTCCATTTTCTGACCTTAATTTTTGACAACTTTTTCTGGGTGGCTGATGAATCTCCAGACATATCTGACCAACGGTGAAGTTCTTCTTTTGCTGAATGGAGCCAATCTGTGAATTCCTGAACTGCATCTAAATACATCAGATGGTCTTTCACAATTTCTTCCACTTTCCTCATTTTTTCCTATCAAATAAACAACAAAAAAAAGAGGCTACTTTAACAATAGTCATTTCTGAGAACATGCAATCAAATAAGACAACAGCCTGATCTAGGTCTCTTAATGTATATCAGAAGATTTCAGTCTTATTCTAGAATTTTATGAGCTTAATATCTTCAAAAGAAACTATCAAATCTTAATTAAGTTGAATGGCTATGAGGAAATAACCATTTATTCCTATAAATTACTGTTTATTGTCTAGCTTAACATAAAAATCTATGCTTAGTGAATGTTGGCTCACTAAAAATCCACTTAATAATTGTTATAATAAATATTCTTATTATTCAAGTCATTATTTATGTTGGTTTGATGTTTACCATTCTTATTAGCAATTTTAGTGCATTTGCTTATTTAATCCTTACAATAGGCCTGTGATGTAGACATTCTTATCACTGGGACACTCAAGCTATCAGAGGTTAAGTAATGTGCCCAAAGTTACACATCCAAAAAAACGTCAAAGTCTCGAATTAAAACTTAGGACTTTTTGACTCAAAGCTCTTAATTATAACTAAGATAGAAATGAAGATAAAGAAATACAAATATTGGGTTATCAAAAGTCATGACTTTTTTATGCAAAATGTGTCATAACTTTTCAGATAACCCAATATTAATAACTATAGTATTAAAAACAAAGAGAATGGCCAAAGAGGAAAATAAAAGAATAGAAAAACAAATAAACAATGCTCTCCCTTAATTTATACATGATATACAAATCTACAAAGAAAAACTTATGGAGACAAATAAAAATTCATGAAATTGGGGGAAAAAATCTTGATTTTTTTGGAGAGGTTTTTGCTATAGGGTGCATGCACTTGCCAGAAAGAAGGAGAGAGACAGAGAGATAGAAAGTGAGAAATGAGGGAGCCTATATTTTGGAGAACAGAAAAATGCAGCTTTACTAATATGAGAAATGAACACAATACTTTATACAGAACTGAAATCTAGGTAGTAAATTTCCATCCAATATAACAAATATAAACCCAATAAAAGAAAAATATTTAAATATTGATATTTGATGTTAAGATAGTCTTATAAAGAAAGTAGAAAGGTTAACTAACAAAGCAGAGAAAAAATACAGAAAGTAAGGAATAAACATTAACCCTAATACTGTAGAAAGGGAAAAATAAATAGGCCTTTAAAGATGAGAAATGATCTTTATGTAATACCTCTTCACTAAAGTTTTAGAGCAACAAATTCTTCAATTATTTAATCTGTAGTTTATTCTTTCTCTGAGTCTTAAAGCTTTTCCTTCAATAGAAAGCACTAACCTTGGGACCAGCAGTTGGCATAATGGCTATGTCGCCAGACTCCCATGTAGCCAACCACTGTTTGAGTCCCAGACATGGTGGCTTAGACTCATGCCAGGCACGTGTGTGTGCATGCCCAAGATCCCAAGAGAGAATGGAGGAGAAGGGATAGCCACGTGGCCATCCCTCCTGGGGGGTGATTTCTCGCTTTTTGTCTCTGTGTCTCTCTGTCTCTCTCTGTCTTTCAGGCAAGTGCATGTGCCCTATAGCAAAAACCTCTCCAAAAAAAAAAAAAAAGAAAGAAAGAAAGAAAGAAAGAAAGAAAACACTAACCTTGGCAACAGTCATTATATCATTAAACTGTGTCTTCAGCTCTTCTTGAGCAGTTTCACTGAAAGACTCATCCTCAGTCTTCTCATAGAGCTCCCTGGACTTTGCAGTTAAGCGGTGAAGGGCACCAGCGTGATCTTCTGCCTCAGATACGATGGCCTGAAAGTGATCCAGCAGAGAAAACTTCTCTTTCAGACCTGGCTGCAGTTGAAGGGGATGTTCTACTTTCTGATCTACTGACTCCATCCACTGCTCCAGCTGGTTTTTCCTCTCCAGATAGTCATTCCATTGGCTGATCACAGACTGTAAAGTGCTAGGATAAATGTCACATATTTTATAAAATGAGTTATCTTGACACTCTAGTGAAAGCTAATTACAAGGTCATTATATTCATATAAATTGTATTTACTGAATAATATTTTCAGTGATTCATAAAAATGTTGCCTCTGAATGCAGGGAGAAACATCACTCTCTTGTTCATAAGACCCATAACACATCCTTTGAACAAAGTAAATTTTTGTTAAAATTTGAAATAAGATGTAGTCATACATGCATCTGGAAATCTGTTTCCCAAGTGTTAACTGTTTTGAATGAAGAGACAAATTTGCATATTATTGTGTTAAAAATCAGCATTGCAATGTCAATCAGAGTTTATTTAGTAGATATCAGTTCTTAATTTTCTTGGGCTTAATTTACCTTAATAAAACAAAATGGCAATTATTTATTGACTAGAATTCAAAATTCAAAGTTTTTATTTTGGGAAAATAACATAATTACATTAATTTTCATTAAAGGATATAGATAGATATAGATACTCAGTTGGTTTATGTATAATTAGGTTTCAAATCCACAGATTTCAACCAACTGCAGATGAAAAATAATTGAATAAAATAAAAAATAAAATACAATAGCTAAAAAAATTTTTTAAAAATACAATACAGTAAAACAACTGCTTACATAGAATTACAGAGCAATAAGTATAAGCAATTAGGGATGATTTAAAGTAAATGGGAGGGACTAAAGTTCCCCATCCAGCCTGGAGTGTGGGAAGAGGAGTAGCCTCAGTGTTCATTGACCACCACCCCAGTTCCTGCAATCTCAGAGTTAGAGGTTCAGCTCTCCAGTGTCCATTGTTAGTGGAGAGGTTTGGGTATACAGGAATCAAATACCTGATGACAGTAAGGTTCTGGAGCAATTCTCTTCCCACATTTCCCCCAGTAGAAAAAGGAGAAAAATTATCTGAAAATCAGAAGTTCAAATTCCCACTGTGGATATCACCCAGAGTAGAAGAGGGAAACTGTAACAGCTAATTCACACTGTAGGGAAGTGTGTGAGCACACAGCTAGAGAAACACTCCTAGCAAGAAGTATTTCACTAGATGACTAAAATTCAAAGCAGAGCCCTCAAGAAATGGGAGAAAAACAGGACATGCCTTCTCATAAAGGAGCACAGTAACTCTTTACCAACATTGGTAAAACACAAAAGATCACAGAAATGTCTGGAAAAATTTTCAAAATATTTATTATGACTAAACTGAATAAGATGCAAGAAAAAAAACAGACAACAAATTCCAGGAGATAAGAGTCTTTCCATGACTTGAAAGAAGAACCTGTAAAGAGATAGACACCCTGAACAAGAATAATACAAAATTCTAGAGATAAAGAATGGATGCAGGAAATTGAAACCACCCTTCAAAGTACTAACAGCAGCAGTGGATTTGACAATGCAGAAGAAAGAATGTCCTACCTTGAAGACAAAACTTTCAAGTTAGTCCAAGCAACTGAGAACCACTAAAAATGCAAACATCCAGGAAATCCTAGTCTCAATTAAATGGCTGAATATTTGCATAATGTGTATTCCAGAAGACAAAAGGATGAGTAAAGGCATAGAAAATCTCTTTCATGATATATTAGCTGAAAACTTTATAAATTTAAAGAGGTATATGGACATTAAAGTCTAAGAAATAACAAAGAAAACCAAATAGATGTAACATAAGAAGATCCTCTCCAAAGCACATCATAGCCAAACTGGTAAATATCATTGACAATGTTCTAAAAATGACAAGAGAGAAATGCCAAATTATTTACAAAGTTTACCTCAGACCAATATCAGACCTCTCAACTGAAACAATGTAGGCAAGTAAAGAATGGGAAGACATATTTAAAATTCTGAAAGAAAAACAATTTCAGCCAAGATTATCCTTCAAATGGGATGGAGAAATAAAACCATTCCCAGATAAATAACAGCTGAAGAATTTGCCAAAAGTAAGTCAGCTCTATAGGAAATATTTAAGAGTATAGTACACTAGGAAAATTAACGGGAGATAAGTAAAAGTAATAGGATACAAATCAATTAGGAAAAAAAGAGCACTAAATTGACAGAAGTTCACACATATCGATAGTAACACTGAATGTTAATGGATTAACTTCCCCAATTAAAAGATACAGATCAGCTTAATGGATTAAAAAATTGGAACTATCTTCCCCAATTAAAAGATACAGGTCAGCTTAATGGATAAAAAGATTGGAACTATCTATATATTACTTAAAATAAACACACACTTCACTAACAAAGATATATGTACACTAAAAGTGAAGGGCTCAAAAAATGCAAATGGAGATTTAAAAAAGAAAGGCAGGAGTCACAATACTGATATCAGACAAAATGCTCCTGAATGACTTCCAAAGTACTGGAGAAATTAAGACTGAAATCTAAAAATTCATGAAAAAACAAAAATAATGGACACACTACTCTCCATAATGTTTAGGACAAAGTAAAAGCAGTCATAAGAGGTAAGTTCATAGCCATTAGTGCTCATAAGAAAAAAATAGAAAGGTGACAAATAACTTGACATTGCATCTCAAGGAAATGAAAAAGGTACATTAACAACAACAAATCTCAAAAATAACAGAAGAAGAGAAATGGTAAATATTAGAGCAACAGCTAATGAAATAGAGACTAAAAGAATAATACAAAAGAAAAAGGAAACAAAAAGCTTTTTAGAGAGGATAAACAAAAATGACAGGGGTGTGGTGGTGCCCACCCTATGGCAAAAAAAAAAAAAAAAAAAAGAAAAAAAAAAAAAAAAAAAAGAGAAACCATTAGCTAGAGTAATCAAGAGAAACAGAGACAGAAACCAGATAGATAAAATCAGTAATGAAGCTGTTATTACTATCAACATATCAGAAATTCAAAAAATTATGAGAAAATATTATAAGCAACTATATCTCAATGAACTAGAGAACCTAGATGAAATAGACAAATTTCTGGACATGCACAAGTTAACTAGGCTGAATCAAGATTAAATGAAAACCTGAATAGACCAATAGCAAGTAATTATATTGAATGCATAATAAATAGTCTCTCAACAAAAAAAGTCAGGTCCACATGGCTTAATTTCTGAATTTCACAAAACTTTTAAAAAAGAGGTAACCCTAATTCTTTTCAAACTGTTTCTAAAGATCCAAAAGGAAGGACCCTCCCGAACTCATTGTTACCAAAACCAAACAAGGATATAACAAAAAGAAAAAAAGAAAGAAAACTACAGACCAAACTACCTGAACAATACTGATGCAAAAATTCTCAGCAAGATATTAGCAAGCTAAATTTAGAAGTTCATTAAGATTATACACATGGACCAAGCAGGTTTTATTGCAGGGATCAAGGATGGTCCAACATATGGGAAAAAAATGAATATAATATATCACATTAATAGAAGGAAAGATACAATCATATGATTATATCTATAGATGCAGAGAAAGCATTTGATAAAATACACCATCCCTTTGTGATCAAGACTGTCAGCAAAACTGGCATAAAAGAGACATCCTTCAACACAATAAAAGCCATATATGACAGACCCACTATTAATATCATACTGAATAATGAAAAGCTAAAAGCTTTTCCACTAAAAATTGTAACAAGACAAGACTGCCCACTTTCTCCATTCCTTTTCAACCTGGTACTGAAAGTCCTAGCCAACCCAATGCGAAAAAAGAGCAAAATAAAAGGTATTCTAATAGAAAAAGGAGGAGCAAAATTTTCCCTGTTTATAAGTGATATGATTATATAAAAAAATATACAAAGGAATACATAAAAAATAACTACTGTAACTGATAAGTTAATTCCGAAAAGTAGCAAGATACAAAATCAATATACAAAAATCAATAACATTTTTATATGCCAACAATGAGTGGACTGAGACAGAATTAGAAAAAAAAAATACATTTATAATAGTCACAAAGGGCTGGCAGGTGGCATGGTGGTTAAGGGCACTGGACTGCTACATGGATGACTGCAATTCAAGTCCTGGACCTGGCAGGTTTCTCTCTCTCTCTCTCTCTCACACACACACACACACACACACATGCACACACACACACACCTTCTCTCTCTGGTCAAATTTTAATTAATTAATTAAGTTAAATTAAAATAATTCTTTAAATTTTTTAAAAATAAAATAAAATACCCACTATATGAGTAAGATATCAAAGAATAAACCTAACTAAAGAGGTGAAAAACCTCTACAAGAAAAACTATGAAAAACTCACAAAGAAATTGAATATGATGCAAAAAAATGGATAGACATCCCATGTTCTTGGATGTGATAAATTAATATAATCAAAATGTCAGCTCTACCCAAATTAATTTACATGTTTAATGAAATTCTGTTCAAATTTCCAGTGACATTCTTCACAGATAGAAAACACAATTGTAAAATTTGTCTGGAATCATAAAAGATCTTGTATACCCAAGGCAGTACTGTACCAAAAAGTGAAGTAGGAGGCATCTCATTTCCCTATTTCAAATAAATTACAAAGTGGTAAAAATCAAAAGAGCATGGTGTTGGCACAAAAATAGAGACCAATGGAACAAAACAGAGAATCCAGTAACAAATGCCAAATCATACAGCCAACTGACCTGTGACAAAGAGCACAAGAAAATGGTGTGGAGAAAAGAAAGTCTTTTCAGCAAATGGTGCTGGAAGAACTGGATATCCATCTGCAGAAAAATGAAACTGGTCCCCATCTCTCACCATTAACAAGTGTCAATTCAAACTGCATCAAAGATTTAAATGTACAGCCTCAAACTTAAACTACTGGTAGGAAACGGGAAACTCTTGAAAACATCGGAGTATCCAAAGATTTCTTATATAAGACCCCTAGAGCACAGGCATTAATTCCCCAAAATAGACAAGTGGGATAACATCAAGCTAAAAAGCTTCTGCACAATAAAGAAACAATAATTAGATGGAACCGGAGTAATGGCTATGCCACTGGCCTCCCATATAGCTAACTGTGGTTCGAGTCCCAGACCCAGTGGCTTAAACTCACGCTGGGCATGTGTGCATGTGTGACCAAGATCCCAAGAGGAAAATGGAGGAGAAGGGATTGAAGCATGGCCATTTCCCTGGGGGGTGATTTTTCTTGCTTTCTGTCTCTGTCTTCCTGCTTCCTGGTGAGCGCACACACCCTACAGAAAAAAAAAAACAAAAAAAAAAAAACCTCTCCCCCCCAACAACAACAGCAAAAAATTAGAGTGAAGAGACAATCCTCCAAAGGGGAGAAAATATTTGTAAATTAAGTCTCAGACAAGGGATTAATAATTAGAATATATAGGGAACTCAAGCAGCTCACCTATAAAAAATAATTAAGCCAATTAGAAAATGGGCAAATCAGCTGAGTAGAGAACTCTCCAAGGAGGACATACAAATGGCCAAAAGACATTAAACAATATTCAAAGTCTCTATAAAGGAATATAAATCAAAACCACAATGAGATACCATTTAACCCCAGTTAGAATGGCAAGGATAAAAAAATAAAATAAAGAGTGACAGTGTTGGCAAGGCTGTGGTTTTAAAGGGGACCCTCTGAGACCAGTAATGGACATAGCAGTTACATCTTTGAACGCCCACATGGCCAACCACTATATGAGTTCCAGACCTGGTGGCTTGAAATTCAGACTGTGTGTATGTGTGTGCCCAAGATCCTGGGAGAATGGAGGAGAAGGGAATGCAGTGTGACCAACACCCCTGGGGGGGTGATTTCTCACTTTTCTTCTCACTGTCTCAGTCTCTCTCTGGTGTGACACACACTCTAAGGCAAAAACTTCTAATAAAAAAAATAAAAATGAAGGAGACACTCTTACATTGTTGGTGGGAATGTCAATTAGCACAACTGTGGTGACAATATGGAGGTTCCACAAAAACCTACAAATAGAACTATATGACTCAGTAATCCCACTCATTGGTATTTACACAAGGATAGGAAAGCCTTCTGAAAGATACTTGCACATCCATGTTTATGCAGTATTATTCACAATTGCTAAGACACGCAATCTACCTAAGTGTCTCAGAACTGACGACTGGGTTGAAAAACTGTGGCACATGTATACTATTAAATAATATTCGGTCATAAGAAACAATGAGACCCTGCCATTTGATTCAAACTGGATGAATACAGATGATTTAATGTGAAGGGAAGTGAGCCAGACTTTAAAAGACACACACTGTATACCCCCCGTCATTATGTATCAAATGTCTGCGCTCTGTGGCAGAAATTGAATATATCCTAAAGCCTCTGAACATTTACAGGGAAAAAAGTATTTTAATATATTATTTCATTATTTTCACACAATAACTTGAACATTGCTACCAGTCAATATGTAGTTGTCCAGTCTAATTTATTGTTGAAATAAGCGAATCAAAGTTATGAATCTTTTGCTTGTGTTTAACATTATACTCAACTATGTAAAAATACACGTCCTCATTCCTATTAACTTTTATAAAGCTTGTCTACTGCAAAGCATGAGGAAATTTAGTTAATGATCCAGCAGTTTATAAGATATATTCTATGGAATCTGATTTATTTTCTTTGCTTACAATTGTAAGTTATTGCTAAGATGTAACATCTTGGTGACCTAGGTTCAATGTTAAAGGAAAAACAAAACAAAACAAAACAAAACAAAACAAAAACCTCCCAAATTTTAGCTGTAACCATTCTATGGCTTATTGTTTTACTGTAGTGAATAACCATAATGGTTTTCTGTTTGTTTTGTGCTGAACTTCACTCTCCTCTTCACATACGTGTTGTGATTACATTGGATCCTCTGTTCTTCAGTGAGCTAGTAATACAGATAACTCACAGAATACAACTTCAGGGGTGTGTTTAAGCTTTATTCTGGCTGGTGTTCATATTTTAAGAACAGCCAGATTATTTCTGGATGCTCTGAGAAGAGGGAAAAAGAAGAAAATCTTCTACTCATAAATTCAATAATAGCAACAAAAATAATGGCTGGAATAGCAACTGAGACCTTCTCTAGTTCTTCGTCAGTGTCTAGTACCATGATTTTCAACAGAGGCTCTATGGGTATCCTGGATGGGCTGGGTTTTGGTTGTGTGAAAATGTTTCACACTTTGCAAGATGTTAGCTCCCTAGCCTCAGAAATAAATGCCAGAAATAGTCTCACCATCATTGTGATGATTAGAACACACTAGTGTGGGTGCTATTACTTCTGGTTGAGGAATACATGCATACTTAAGCTCAACAGCTACTAATAACTTGATTTCCCATATGTTCCTTTAAAATGCTAAACTTTAGTTATTGAATAAGCATATATCCTTGGTTTGATGACTTAAAAAGAAGTATTATACTAAGCCCATGTTATGTATAAGATTCCATAAGAAGGGTAGATGTAAATATTTTAAAAATAAGACAAAAACACAAATACAAAGTAAGCTAGCAAAAGCCAGTCTTTGCGCAGTAGAACATACTGCAGAGGCAGGCACCCATACACTGAGCTAAATAACGCGTTGGCAGCTTCACCACAGAGTGCCTTAGCAATGCTCCATCATTTTAGTAAGCCACTGGGTTTTCTTTAGGCAAATAAACACTAAGAGTAGGCTCTATACCTCTGAGCATGAGAGGAGGAGATCATAATGGTAGCCCACACATCTTTAAGGGTCTCCAGCTGAGTCCGAATCACCTTCTGGCCTTCCTGATTGCTGCTCCTCAAGGCCTGTTCCCCTTTCCCAATGGCCATATTCAACTTGACTTCTCCTTCACCTTTCATCAGGAGAATATCCTAGGAAGGAAGAATAAAACTTGTCAGCAGGCGTAAAAAAAACCTGCTATTTTAAAACATGGTTATGTGTGCCATGAGAACTGAGGTAAATATTTTACTCACCCTACAATTAAAACAACTTTGGACCCTAATGCAATGTAACACTTCACTTAAAATTAGATATTTGGGAGTCTAAATATCAAAGAGTAACTTCCATTAAATTTCTTAGAAATGTTGGGCCATTAGCCTAGAAAGTATAGTTTTCTTGACTTTGCTTTTAAAGAGCAAAAAAATTATTTTGAAAATGAAAACATATCTGTCAACACCTGGCAGTCTCCTACCCTCATTGCCTGGCTTATTCCTCTCTTTCATGTTCTCCTTCATTAACTACAGTCTAAGCTGGTGGTCTCTTCCATACTTTCAACACATCCAGCTTTGCCTCAGTCGTGGCCCCTACATACACACTGCTCCGTAGGTAACAGATTGAATTGGTCTCTGCTGCTAGACTAGAACTGTTTGAAAACAAGAACTAGAACCAGTCTGTGGCATGGTGGTTAAGGCGACTTGATCCCATATGACCAACTGTGTGGTTCAAGTCCAGGATCCAGAGACTTGAGTAGCATGGTGGGTGCATGTGCATGTGTGCCTCAAATTCCAAGAGAATGGAGAAGAAGGGACTGTAGCTTGACCATTCTCTCAAGGGGATGCTTTCTAACTTTCTTTCTCTCTCCCTCTCCTCTTTCTTTCTTTCTGGTGAGTACACATACCCTCTAGTAAATTAAAAAGAAAGAAAGAAAGAAAAAAAGAAAGAAAGAAAGAAAGAAAGAAAGAAAGAAAGAGAGAGAGAGAGAGAGAGAGAGAGAGAAAGAGAGAGAAAAAGAGAGAGAGAGAAAAAGAGAGAGAGAGAGAGGAGGAAGGAAGGAAGGAAGGAAGGAAGGAAGGAAGGAAGGAAGGAAGGAAGAAAACAAGGATCAACTTTACCTCTTTACCTCTATATTCTCAGCAACCTGGATAGTGCTGAGACAGAGTAGGAATCAATAATATTTACTGAACATTTACTAAATGAAATTAAAAGTATTTGAAAGCTATTAGAACAAAAATGTTCCTTTACAAAGGAGAAAGATACCCTCCCCCATATCTGTGTAGCACATGATCTTCATTTAGAGGCTCACAGATCATGCAGGACCCAAAGTAGACACTGTTGATCCCATCCGAACATGTGCGCCAGCCACCAGTGCCTGGCTGGTGCTGCCCATACCTGTATGTGTGACAGCCGCTTCTCCAAGGTGTCTTTGTCCCCAGTAGTACTCTCTGCACAGGCCAGTCTGTCTTGGATGTCCTTCACCCAGGACCACATGGTCTGCAGTGCTTCTTCCAGGGCTTCGTGCTCCTGCAGGGCCACCTGACAGCTCCGGAGTGTCTCTTTGGTCATCCTGAGTAAATTCTGGTAGCTTGTGAGGAGCTGGGAGCACAGGCGTCCTTCTTTCCCAGCACCATGGCCTTCTTCACTGAGAAGGTGCCCTCTCTGAGAAAGTTTATCAAGAGACTCTCTTAAAAAAATAAATAAAATAAAATTAATACTGACACTCTGGAGTGCTGAGGAGTGACAAATAGTTGTTGATATTGAAGCAGTAACCAGATAAAAGCTCACAGCTGACATGCTGACATGCCTTTAAAATCCAGCTGCTAGGAGCCTCCCCTACAGTCTCCCTTAATGTGGTCAGCGTCGAGCAGGACGTGGTTCTACTACCCACAGGGCAGTGACAGGGCCGGCCCTCCCCCTGTGAAACTGACTTAGGAAAGGGATTTGGCCACCTCCACAGGTCTCCCCTCCAGGCTATAGTCATCCCTATTAATGCAGTAATGATGAAAATCTCCCTTAGATTCCCAGCACACGCTGCTGTTTAATAAATACATGAAGACACTTCCTTGTGGAAACCTTTCTGCTCTCGTTTCTTTCCCTCACATCCCAAGAAGTAGCCTCGACAACCGTGGAGAGGGTGGAGGGCACAGGGCTCCTCTCATGCCTGCTTTGGCCTCACTCAATCACCCAACCTGCCATCTGTCCAATACAAGAGGTTTTTACCTTCTCGGAGTCAGAGCTATTACATTCTTCTGCAAGGAGTCTTCAAAAAATTCATGGAAAATGTATATTGAAAAACAAGCTTGTGCATGGAAGCTAGCAGGTGACTTGGAGGTTAAGGAGGTTAGATCCCATATGGCCAACTCTGCCTTTCCAGTCCAGGACCTGGTGGCTTGAAAATCATGCTGGGCACATGTGCATGCGTACCCAAATTCCTGAGATGAGAATGGAGGAGAAGGGACTGCATAGTGGCTGTCCCCCTGGGGAGTGATTTCTCACTTTCCCTGATTTTTTTCTGTCTGTCTCTGTCTTTCTGTGGTAAGCATGTATACCTTATAGTTAAATAAATAAATAAGTAAATAAATAAATAAATAAATCTGTGCATGGATTTTAAAATTGTTTTGTACTGGAAACCAGCAGATAGAGTAATGGCTACGTCGCTGGACTCCCATGTACTTAACCGTGGTTCAAATTCCAGGCCCGGTGGCTTAAACTCATGCCAGGTGCATGTGCATGCATGCCCAAGATCCCAAAAGGAGAATGCAGGAGAAGAGACTGCAGTATAGCCATCCCCCTGGGGGGTGATTTCTTGCTTTCTGTCTCTCTGTCACTCTGTATTTCTGGTGAGTGTACGTGCCCTACAGCAAAAACCTCTCCAAAAAAATTATTTTGTACTAAAATAAACTTGGACTATAATTCCATTTTTCCAAAAACGTTTTGAAGTACCCACCTTGTATCCCCAGGGTCCATCCTAGCACTGGGTAGAAACAAAATGGAAAAAGGTTTTGCTTCAAAAGGGCATCTTAGGAGGGCTTATGGATTTCCTTCTTGTATCTTGAATATTGTGCTCATTGTGATTTGCAACTATGTTCATTAGGTCAAGGGAAAAATCTAACTGCTATGTGGATGGACTGGCTTCAACTTATTTTTAAGAACTCTGAATTCTTTTTTTTTTTTTTTTTGGAGAGGTTTTTGCAATAGGGCACGTGCGCTCGCCAGACAGAGAGAGACAGAGAGACAGAAAGCGAGAAATCACCCCCCAGAGGGGATGGCCACGCTGCAATTCCTTCTTCTCCATTCTCCTCTCAGGATCTTGGGCACACATGCGCATGTGCCCGGCGTGAGTTTAAGCCACTGGGTCTGGGACTCGAACCACGGTCGACTATGTGGGAGTCCAGTGACATAGCCATTACGCTAACTTCTGGTCCTGTGAACTCTGAATTCTTATCTATATAAAAAAAGCCTGGGATGCCAGAAGAGAGCAGAAGGATCCAGATATAAATGGTTATGACTGATAGAAAACACACACACACACACACACACACACACACACACACACACACACAGCATCTGAGTGGCTACCATGTAAATAGTATCTCATGGACCACCCTGAGACATACAAAGAGATAGTCAACATTGTACCTGCTCTAAAAGATGTTTCTCATACTTGTAATCTGCTTGGTGGGATAAGAAGGTGGCTTAAGGAATGATGTGAGCTGAGTAATAATTTTAGAAGAGAGATTTCATTGGTCATTACGAGACAAATTGCTCAATGGGTGATAAAAATATTAATGAGTTTCAACTTTGTGCTTTATCTTTTATTTCTTTTGTTTTTTTTTCTTAGAGGGTGCTTACACCCACCAGACAAAGACAGAGAGAAAGAGAGAAAGAGAGAGAGAGAGGGAGAAAGCACCCCCAATCTGGAATGGTCATGTCACAATTCCTTGTTGCCCATTCTCTCTCCTTTTGGGATTTTGGGCAGACACACACAGGCGCCCACCATGTTTCTCAAGCTGCCAAGTCCAGGACTTAAACCATGCAGTCAGCCATGTGGGATCAGTTGCCTTAATCACTAAGCCACAGAGTTGGTTCTTTTGTACACATTTATACAGGGCATCTTCCCAGAATATTTGAAGTACTGGAAATATGATGAAAAACAGCAGAAGACTGGGAAGGGCAAGCAGTATGTAAGAGAGAGAAGTCAGTAAACCAGTTGGAGCATCTAAAGATAGAAGCTAACTTAGGACCATTCAGGGAAGTGGCTAATTTGGAAAGAAGGATCCCAGGACAAACATATCTATAGTATCAGCATCTGTCTCAGAATATCAGAGGGTAAAATTTCAATAAGGACTGTAAGCTATCTATGTCAAAAAGCTGCAACTGGGGTCAAGAGGTGGCATGGTGGTTAAGGTGCTGGACTCCCACATGGCCAAACATGGTTCAAGGCCCAGATCTGGTGACTTAAAAAATTACACCAGGTACACATGTGTGTGCATCCAAAAATCCCAAGAGGACAGTGGAGGTCAAGAGATTGCAACATAACCAGCATGGCCATACAGTGAGCCCCCCTGGGGGGGGTGATTTCTCATTTTTCCTCTCTCTGTTTTTTTTCTGTCTCTCTCGAGCAAGTACCCACACCCTATGGCAAAAACCAAACCAAAACAAAACAAACAACAACAACTTGCCACTATCAGAAAATAAATAAGTGAAGAAAGAAGCATTGAATTTGGTGATGAAGGTACTGGTACCACTTTGTCAAATGCATTTTATTGTAATGATGGCAAGAGAAGTAGATACAAAGGAAGATACGGAGCAGTCTGTGGGGAAGACTTGAAAGTCAAAAATACATAGTCAATTTAAAAGTCCAGAAGAAAGGAAGTAGATTTGGTTATGTTGTAATGTATCTAGACAAAAGTTAGGATTTAGAAATTGAAATAATGTGCAGTCATAGGGCCAAGCTATGGTGGAACTCCATGGACTGGAACCAGGTGGGAGGGCTGGGTTCAATTCCTGGTGCAACAGAAAAGCTGGATGTGGTGACAGACACCTGTAATCCCACTGACTCGGGGCTGAGGCAGAAGTATTGTGAGCTCAGTGCTGGCCTGGGTGACATAGTGAGACCTTGTATATAAAAGAGCCAGAGATGGCACATATTACTATAGTCCTATCTTGGAGGCTGAGGCAGGAGGATTGTCATGTAATGAAAACTCTGGTTCAAAGAAAATGCAGTGTAATCTTCAGAAAGTCATATTGTTAGGGAGGTACTATTGTTACATCAATTTTTGAACAGTTTTTATGTTTTAGCAGTCTATTAGATAATAGAATTATGAAAAGAGGGACCAGCAGATGGCATAATGGTTATGTCACTGGACTCCCATATAGCTAACTGCAGTTCAAGTACTGGGCACAGCAACTTAAAACTCATGCTGGGGGTATGTGCTTGTGTGCCCAAAATACTGAGAAGAGAATGGAGGAGAAGGGATTGTGGCATGGCCATCACCCCAGGGGGTGATTTCTCAGTTTCTGTCTCTCTGTCTCTCCAGAAAAAGCATGTGCCCTATAGTAAAATTTTCTCAGAAAAAGAAAAAAAGAAAAGAAGAGAATAAGGACCTAAAGTCATTGAACTTGAGCACATATTTAGAAGTTAGAGTGTGTATATAGAATAAACAAAGAGTTTCACCACAGCAAGGACTCACAGAGATGGGATTTAGCATTCCAGGGACATTTTATAATAGTCATCAAACTAGCATGCCAACAAGTAGCTGTTAGTATGGATTCTTTGTCCACTTGTTTGCATGTTCATTTTTAAAGACAAGGATTAACAGGCACATCTGACCAAAAGAGGTCTCAGTCAAAATTGAAAATGACCATATTCTGAATTAGAAGATATTTACTCAATTCCTGATTATTGCTGATTAAAGAGCCCAGTTTTGGGTCAAGCTGCACTTCTGTGATGCTGTCAATAGAGAGGAAGCAACTGAAAATGCCAGAATTAGAACATAAATTTAGGGAGCAAAGTGCTGCAGGTGGTTGAGTCAAAAGGACAGCCCAGGCCCAGCCGAAGTGGTGCAGCAGCAGCATAACCCTCTGCAATGCTGGAAGCCATATGGCAGACTGTGGTTCTGTTCCTCACTGACCATACCTTTGCTTTACTAAGATGATTGTGAGGATGCATGGGTAGAAATGGAACTGGAAGCTGAAATGTGTGAACATATAGAAATGGAGGTCTACAATATTATTGTCCTAAGTCACTGAGAGTTTGTGGTTTTAATCGAGTTGTAGAACATAAGTGACCTGGTTGATTTCTTGAGCAAAGGTAAGTGGAAGTAGATGCAAAGCAGCCCCTCCTTTCATCTGCGCTGTCTTCAGAACCCCACATTGCTATGAAGGTGCAGTAGACCATTCACATCCTAGACTTTAAGTGTCAAGAACAAACCACCACCCACCACCAATCCCTAACCAAATAACCAACCAACCAATCAAAAATATCCTAGAATAGATTCTACTCCAGGGCAAACCCATGGCTTGGTGGTTAAGGTGGCTAGATCCTTAACTTGAACTGCACAGTTCAAGTCTTAGACCTAGCATTTGAAAACTATGCCAGGTACATTTGTGAGCATGCCCAAACATCCCAAAAGGAGAAATGAAGAAGGGACTGTGGTGCAGCTATCCCTCCCAGAGGGTGCTTTATCACTTTCTCTCTCTCCAGCGAGTGCATGTACCCTCTACCAAATATTGAAAGAAAAAATAAAATAGAACCTATTCTATTTCCATACCATACCTTGCAGCCAGTAATTCTCCAAGAAACATTTCAACTTTATGAACTTCATTTTTCTTCTCAGGAATATGCTGTTTATTCTCCCCCAAGTTTTCTGTACGTAACCTTTCTTCCATCTCATGGATCCATAAGTTTAATTTTCTGTGCTGATCCTCAAAGCTAAAAACAAAAAAGACAAAAAGAAAACATGGAAATTTATAGAAATTCTGGCTCTATAATCACTGAGGTTTCAATTTCTTTTATATGTGAATTAAGATCTCATGAATTTTCAATAACAGAAGAAAACTCAGCAATTATGCCATTCAAATAATCACTTATTTCAGTAACAAAGGGACAAATCTTTGTGATTTCTTTTGAGATCCAAGCATAAAAGGAATCATCTCACCTAACTGCATTGATTCATTGCTGGTATCTACAAACAGGATTGCATTCTTGTGTCAACAGGCACTTAACTTTGTATCTTGCACACAGACCTTTGAATTAGGGTCAATGGACACCATGGGAAAAGAAGGGAAAGTGGTCTCTGTATTTATGAGATTATAAATATGACACAATCATTCTAAATTTTGAAAAGAATAGAAGCTCACCAAGAAATCTGGACAAGAGTCAGGCAAATTATTCTGCCATCAGAAAGGTAATTTCATTATACTGACATTTTTTCTCCCTTTAGTAATGAGATTTTTTTTTCTTCTTCTAATTTTACATTGACATATACTGGTTGGGATTGTTTTAAGTTTATTTATTTATTTCTTAAATTAGTTAGAGAAAGAAGAGAGAGAGAGAGAGAGACCCCAAACAAGGTCAATTTGCTGAGACCTACTCTTAGCATTAACCAACCCAGATCATGGGTACATGCATGTCACACATGTTTGGCTGATCTCACCAACTTGAAACCTTTGCATGTGGGTCAAACTAGCAGAGCATCATGTTACCATTGTGCCACTGTCTGGACCCACTGATTGGATTCTAATCCATAAAATTCAGTATTAATTTCTGCCTTGACTTCCATGACAAGTGGACATAGTAAAAGGCTTGGATAATCTAAAAACTGGAAAATCAAAGCTCTATCTTGAATTAACCAAACAGGAGAAATGACCTGCATTTATGTTAATTACAATTACTTGTGAATATAATTCCTTCACTTTTTCTGCATAAAAAATAAAGCCAAGTAATGTGCTTGCTTCAGCAGCACATATACTAAAATTGGAATGAAACAGAGAAGATTAATATGGCCCCTGTGCAAGGATTACATGCAAATTCATGAAGTGTTTTATGTTTTTAAATACAAAAGACCCCAAATAGAGTCAACCGCAGAAGATCTTCCCCAAGGCACATCTTAGTCAGACTGTCCAAGACCACAGATAAAGACATGATACTAAAACTGGCAAGAAAGAAATGAGAAGTGACTTACAAAGGTCATCCTCTCAGGCTAACACCAGACCTCTCAATGGAAACAATGCAAGCAAGGAAAGAATGGGAAGATGTATTGAAAGTGTTAAGAGGGAAATGATTTCAGTCAAGATTATTATATCCTGCAAGATTATCCTTCATACGGGAGAAAAAGATTAAAATCTTCTCAGACAAACAAGACCTGAAAGAATTTACCAACACCAGACCAGCTCTTCAAGAAACACTGAAGAAAGTACTGTTTCAGGAAAACTAAATAATTACCAGACAGAAACAAAGGAATGAAAGGCAACTAAGACAATGGCCAACTTAAACGTCAGGACAGATCCAGTAACATCAATAATAACATTGAATGTGAATAAATTAAATTATCCAATCAAAAGACACAGACTGGCTGAATGGATTAAAAAAAAAAAACAAACAGAAACCCTCTATCTGTTGCCTACAGGAAACCCATCTCATGGATAAAAACATACACAGACTGAAAGTGAAGGGTTGGAAAAAGATTTTCCATGCAAATGGGAACCAAAAGAGAGCTGGAGTTGCAATACTAATTTCTGATAAAATAAGCTTTAAAACAAAAGCTGTTCAAAGAGACAAAGAAGGGCACTATACTATAGTAAAAGGATCAATAGATAAAGAAGATATAGTGCTTATAAATATCTGTGTGACTACCACAGGAGCACCCATGTGAAGGAAAGACTGTTAGATCTAAAAGGGAATATAGACTGCAATACACTGATTGTTGGAGACCTCAACACTGCACTATTCCCTCAGGGCAGATCATCTAGACAAAAAAATAGATAAAGAGATAAAGGATCTAAACAATACTATAAATCAAATGGACTTAACAGACATCTATAGAACTTTCCATCCAAAAGTCACGAGTTACTTTTTTTCTCACCCCCCCACCATGGAATCTTTTCGAAGATTGCCCACATCATAGGGCACAAAGCAAGCCTCTACAGATTCAAAGGCATAGAAACTATATCCAGCATCTTCTCTGACCATGATTGAATTAAACTTGAGTTTTATTTCAAGAGAAATCCACAAAAATACTCAAATACATGGAAACTAAATAACTTATGCCTGAATGACTCCACAACTACTGAAGAAATAAAGACTGTAATCAAAAGATTCATGGACGCCAATGACAATGAAGACACAAGTTTCCATAATCTTTAGGACACTGCTAAAGCAGTCATAAGAGAGAAGTTTACAGCAATTAGTGCACATAAGAGGAAGACAGAAAGAAAGCAAATGGATCACCTAACATCATGCCTTAAAGAATTGGAAAAGCAACAGCAAAATTCCAAACTTCAGGAGAAAGGAAATACTAAAGAAATGAGCAGAAGTAAATGAAATAGAAAATAAACGAAGTATATAGAAAATAAATGAAAGTAAAAGCTGGTTCTTTGAAAAGATAAACAAAATCAATACACCACTAGTGAGACTAAGAAGAAGAGAGAAAGGAACTGGGTGAATCAAATCTGCAATTAAGCAGGCAATATGACAACAGACAAAATAGAAATACAAAACATCATTAGAGGATACTATGAACAACTATATGGCAAGAAACAAGACAATCTGGATGAGATGGACAAATTCCTGGACACATATAATCTACCAAGATTGAGCCAGGAGGATATAAAAAGTCTGAATAGGCCCATAACAATCCAGGAGATTGAATCAGTAATAAATATCCTCTCAACAAAGAAAAGCCCTGTCCCTTATGGCTTCATGTCTGAATTCTATAAAACTTTCAGAGTTAACCCCCATTCTGCTCAAGTTATTTCTAAAGATCCAAAAGAGTGAGTCTCTCCCCAATTCATTTTATGAAACCTCTATCACCCTTGTACTTAAAACAGATAAGGACAGGACCAGGAAGGAAAACTATAGACCAATATCTCTGATGAATATAGATGTAAAGATTCTCAACAAGATACTAGCAAATTGTATCCAACAACTTATAAAAAAGATTACACATCATGATCAGGTAGGCTTTATTCCAGAAATGCAAGGTTGGTTCAACATATGTGAAACCATAAATGTAATACACCATATTAACAGGAAGAAAGATAAAAACCATTTGGTCATATCAATTGATGCAGAAAAAACATTTGATAAGCTACAACATCCCTTCATGATCAAGACCTTCAGCAAAATTGGCATAGAAGAGTCATTTCTCAATACAATAAAAGCTATCTATGAAAAACCCATAGTGAACATCATAATGAATGGAGAAAAGCTGAAAGCTTTCCCACTAAAAATGGACACAAGACAAGGATGCCCACTTTCTCCACTCCTAATAATAGGCAGACTGAGATAGAATTGAAAAAAGTTATTCCATTTACCATAGTAACCTAAAGTATAAGATACTTACGAATAGATCTAACCAAAGAAATTAAAGAACTCCACAAGGAAAACTATGAGAAGCTGAAAAAAGAAATTGAAAATGACACAAAAAAGTGGAAGGACATCCCATGTTCCTGGATTGGAAGAATTAATATAATCAAAATAGCAATTCTACTCAAATTAATCTACATACTTAATGCAATCCCAATCAAAGCACTAGACACATTCTTCACAAATCTAAAAAAGACAATCATAAAATTTGTCTGGAATCATAGAAGACCTCATATTGTCAAAGCAATCTTGCACAAGAAGAATGGAGTGAGTGGCATCTCATTCCCAGACCCAAAAATAAACTACAGAGCTGTGGTAATCAAAACAGCATGGTACTGGCACAGAAACAGACAGGTGGACCAATGGAACAGAAGAGAGTCCCCAGAAATAAATTCCCAAACATACAGTCAACTGATTTTTGACAAAGGGTACCAGTCAATCCAGAGGGAAAAGGAAAACCTCTTCAACAAATGGTGCTGGAAAAAATAGATTTCCACTTACAGAAAGATAAATCTGAACCCCTACCTCTCACCTCTTACAAAAATCAAGTCACGGTGGGTCAAAGATCTAAATCTAAGACCTCAAACTATGAAACTGCTCCTGGAAAACACTGGGGAAACTCTGGGAGACATTGGGGTAGGGAATGGGATAGGGAAAAACTTCCGCAAAGCACAGTTGGTAATAGCCAAAATAGACAAGTGGGATTAAATCAGATTAAGAAATTTCCGCATGACAAAAGACACAGTAATGAGTATGAATTGACAGCCCTCAGAATGGGAAAATATTTGTGTAAATTATGCATCAGATAAGAGACTGATAATGAGAATACACAAGGAACTTAAGCAGCTGTTTGGAAAAAAGATGATCAATCCTATTAAAAGATGGGAGAATGAGTTGAAAAAACCACTCTCTAAAGATGACATATGA